CTATCAGGACTCAGTAGTAATGTGGATAACGCGATATCGTTTGAAGCGAACGGTATTGGGTTGGAGTATCAAAGTGAACATAAACTCTGAGATGTAAGCATATCCGGGTGACGAGTTCCTGATAGAACGGAATACATGTCGTGGATCCCACTGTTAGCCACTATCCATCTTTGTAAATGAAATATGTATTTGTACAGATTATATATTTGCTATAATTTTTGCAAAATATAATCTGTTTAAAAATTAACTTGTTCATTTTAGACATTCGTGCGCAAGATTGATAAGTCTTGGTTTTGAATCTCGTGAGGCAGGTTCGTGGATGCACACTGCTGAGGAATCCTATAATACGACGAACTGGCTGTCTAGTACTTCCATGTTTTTCATGGTTGTATAGCTTCCATTGACTCATGATTTCAACCATTAAAATAAATATATGTTAGTGACTTGTTTAACTTGTCATGAAGTGTAACTATTAAACTGTCATTTCCATGAAGTTACTACATACCTTTAAGTGAAATTTCCAACTTCCATTTCATACTTTATTGCTTTTAGATTATCATTTATCATTTACATAATAAGTGATTAATTAATTGAATCCCTTCAATTTCATAAATTTTATTTCATTCTACTACATTCTTTACATTTTATATACTTACGTAGTTTAAACTAATCCATAAACAAAAAGAACAGCTCAAACTCTAGTCTCTAAGTGATGAATAATTAATGTTAATTCTAATAGATTGAATACGCCCTTTTTTACTATTAAAAATGTTATAAATGAGAATAATATCAAAATAATTATAGAAAGTTATCTAGTCTACTAGGTAGTATGTTTTATATAGTTAATAAACGTAACAAATTAACTAACTGATCATAATTTTTGTTTGTAGTTTTTAACATCATACGATATTTAATGTACATAGATCATTTTTATAACAATGTATTATCCAAAAATAAAATACCAGTACTACAATTCAATATGTTTTATATAATATATAACTATCATTAATGATAAAGATTGGCATTTAAAAATAAACAGATGAAAATTATATATTTAGCTTTAATATAGAATAACAAATAAGCTCTTAAGAGTAAATATAAGTTCCTTATAAGGAAGTAAGATTCCCGAATAATGATAGGAATAATGCCTTAATTCAATATTATCATTGATGGTAGCAACTAAGATTTATTTCATTGGATAAACTAAAAAGGAAAGTAGGATTTTTTTAATATCTACAATTTGTTATTTTAACTGAATTGAATTGAATCTTCTTCAACTGATTAAATTTGTATTAAACCAATATGATAAACAATGAAATAACTTGATATGATGTTTAATGGGTTAATATCTGTTATATCCTAGCAAATATTAAATTACGAGTAACTTCTGAGATATATTAATGAACTAATATTATCTATATATTCTTATGGTATAAATATTCAATAATTAGATCACGTATATTTATATTCTTTATATTATAAGCTTCGTTTTGATCTATAGATTATACTCAGTTTATTAATTACTGTCTCCCATAATCACAGCCACTCTTTGCTTTAATTGTGTATGAATGTTATTTTCTATTTTACGGTGCGTGGCGGTTTTTTTGGTTGATATATAAACTCAGTATGTCTGAAATAAATGATTCGCATAGTGGAGGCTGTTATTAGTATTCTGGACTCAACTGAACGGGCTAGGCGAGCAACGGACCAATAGGACGTCATTGGTTTAGTACAGTAGAAGAGCGAATAAGCTGTATTTTGATTGGCGAATAGATTACGTGATAACTAGCGGGCCATAAAGTCACAACAATATCAAATGTGAAGTCAACTGAAAACTGATGAGAACTGGATAAATGTTTCTTCTTAGCACTTCACTGGTCAGTAATGTAAATACCCAGTTTTATAAGGATGATGGTTGGAGGCAGTCAACAAGAAACCCTGGACCTAGGTTTCGGGCTACTTGGAACCCGTCAGCAAGGTGTATCTGTAATCTTGAGGGAACTGATGTTCCCCGACGGATTCGATTTCCTGTCACCCAGCTTCACAATCAGAGACGTTACCACTGATTCATCGGGCCTCGATTGACCTTTTGTGGGACTGAGATGTATTTACAATTGATTGGTCACTGGGTGGTAATCAATATCGTGTATATCAGGTCCTTCTTAGAGCAGATCGAATCCTATCTCCACATACTGCATGCAATGTCGAGTCACCTAGACTGATGGCCACATTGCAACATGGTTTGCAGGATTCGATTGGCACTATGAAGAACCTGACATAAATGACATTGATCGTCACCCAGTGATCAATCAATTGTAAACCCAGTCTTATTAGAGATCCATATTAACCCGTCATTAAAATTATTTCACTCCTGATTGACTAATCACAGGCCACTTTATAAAGAACTGAGTGTTGAATTTGAAAGATTTACCCCATGATGCATTGGGACAATCGTTGCACTTGATCACAAACTGATAGAAGTTAAAATCGTGAATCCTTTAGTAAATACACAGTAGTCTGACGTCATCGTGCTATACGCGAGAAATGAATGTTTTAGTTTTGATTTTTAGTATGGTGATGAGTTCCAGATTACGAAAACATCTATCCGACCAGCATTATCCTTCAGTTAAAAACACTACATGAATAAATCCGGTTGATTGCGTATTAAAAATAAGGTATTCAGCTTACTTACATCTAAGGTCCAACATCTGTAAACGTTCCACTTTCGATTTCCTCAAATGGACAAAGAGTAGCATATAATTGTTTGCTTCCTCACATTATCTACTTGGTCTAAATTTTTTATTCATGACGACTATAATAAGCTACGTGGGTCATACAGAATATTATTAGGCTCTTAGAACACCTGGTTTCTTAGAAAGTAAAAATTGAAGTAAAATATTCAGATTCTTACTGAATTCGGAATACTGTCCTATGAACAGCTGACTGTGTGTTCTAACAGTCAACTTACAAAAACTTAGATACCAAGGATTTAAACAAGTAATATTCATCAATTTGACCATTATGATTTTGTATTCGTTCACTTAAATCCAATCATAACTTAAGCTTAACAGTCTCGTCATCATGATTAAAGACATTAAAAAGAAAAAGAATACTTATAGAAAAAACATGAGACACAACATTTTTTTTAATTATACGTGTATGGATGATTTAATCGACTGATATAATGCACTAAAATGGATAGTCGTAAATCGGTTGTCGATTACTTGTGTCAGTAAAATCCCTGAAGGTATATGGTTTCTTGTGCTTCCCCATCTTTGATTTATCACCTGAATAATTGCTGATGAAGAAAACTTGACGAATCGATCTTCACTTACAATTCTAGCTAAATACTTGGGGTTTGTAACATTTTGTGCGAAAATTATCTCAAACTTGCCTAAACCTGGTCGAAAGCTAAGAAAAAAATGAATAACGTATAAACCAGAAAATCTCTTCACGAGCTTCCCGAAATCCAAATTGGTCTTGCATGGAAGACATTACAATAATGTATAAACGTCAAAATCATAGGAAAAAACAGTTTAGTGACTAGAAAACCTGAATTTTGAAGACTTCCATTGATGTTTCAAACAAGATAAAGAAAGATGTTGCAAATATATTGCTACGGATAGAAGATATTTTAAAAGAATTAGGAAATATGTATGATAAATATTTGTTAAATAAAGTTTAAGTGATCACAGATCATATCTTTATTGAATAGATTACGTCAGTCCTAAGTAAAATCAAATCACATATAACTGATTAGTAGCCTGACCAAGTTCTGATTATATTGTTTACATGTAAAACGTATAACTAATGTAAATAATGATATAGCATTTCCATGAGTATTTTAATACTCATTTAAGATAGAATATTAAGTCACCAGTGAATTTAGCTATATTGTTAAATCTGATGCTGCGATTGTATTTTTGTACCAAATAATGAATAAATAAATAACATTTAAGTTCATATTACTTCATAATAATAATAATAATAATAATAAATGGCAATCAGATATTTATATGATATGAATCAAATTAAGTGCTCAGTTTATGGCCTATAATTGAATGTTGCGCGTATGCAATACATCATCTTTATTATCTCCGTAATTAGATAATTTCTATGTTTATATAATGCTTAGAACACAGAGTGTTTGTTTTTTCCATCAAACTGGATTCTTTTCTTTACATTATTCGGAAGACATTTCTATCACCTGCTTGAAACTACTACTTTATACCATTCTGTTCCTTTATTAGGCTAGAAAAAAAAAGTTAAAAAGATATTGAATTATTTTCGGCTTTCAAGTAACCCCTTCATTTGTATTGAATGAAGAGGGCAATTACTTTTTGTGATAAATTATCCTTAAACTTTGCAGTTTAAATTTCTAACTTTATTTTATCTTCCCTACTATTCTGCAATATGTAGTGATAAGATATTTAGCGTCGGTTACTATGTTAAGCCCACATAAGTTATTTCAGCCTCTGAACAGATCAATTTATTCATCCTACTCAAGCTACATTTTAACCTTGTCAATTATTCACTTGACTGTTTTCATATGAGCGTATATATGTGTGTGCATTTCTTATCCTATACATCACATGTCTGTAACTTATTTTTATCTGGCTATAAATATTGATTCACGTTTAATTAAATTGAGTTGGTTCATGCGTCATCTAGCCCCGCTCTCTTCTCTTTGGTACCTTCGCTTCGTTCCTCTGATTGTCTGTACGAAATATATGTATTCGAAAATCCATTCTCGTATTCGACTTATTTAATTCCGTTATTCACTAACGCGGATTAGGTCAATAATTATATACGAAGATAGTTGACATGAATATTTCAATAACAATCATTTACATGATCAATCTGGAATCAGATTTGGAGCCACAAAAGACATACCCGTGCATATAATAAATTAAGCAGCACAAACTGAAAGGATTTATTTTTTCTTCCAACCTAAAATTTCCCAAATAATCACGCAATCATTTTTTCACTTGTTTTTTTAGGTTGTTGTGTATTCTTCTGTTATTCATGTTCAGTATGTTTAATGTATCGTGATTATGGAGAATGTTGTTGTGCACCATTAATTGTACCGGCATCTGAATTTGTACTGGGAACACAACATCGTGCACGTCAAAGAATTAAAGTGAGTTTATTATCGTATTGTATTTTTCTCAGTTATGAATCATTATTCAAGATTATTGTGATCAATCTTACTTTGTACAATAATGACAAGAAAAAAATTATCTAAACAGACTTTAAGTTGAATCTAAGTGTAAACATTCTAAACTCATATCATCTATGAGTTTTAATTTGAAAGTACTTCACACTATATAAACAGATAAGCAATATTACCTAAAACAACTAAGATGCCTAATTCATCTTTTTGTATTAATTAAATAGAAACAAAACAAAATTAATTTAAGAAAATAAAGTTTTAAAAGAACCTAAACATTCCTTTTTAATGGATAGTTGATAGAGCATTTTTGAGTTACATGTACATATTCTAATAACAAAAAATGCACTTTACAAATGATAAAGAGATTAAATTGGCTTGTTAAACCTCAATAATAACGTTAAAATACTTATGGAAATGAAAATATTTTATCTTTACATACACCGTGCATTGCTTTAATGTGCAATGTTTTTTTTAGCAGTATCTTTTGTCAAGTGATAAAAGGGCAAAGTACATTGAGATTAAAGTATGAATTTAATATCAGAATCCGTTGAATAATGTAAAAACAATCATTGAAATTCAAATGTAATGTGACTACAGAAATTTAAGATATTCTAGTGTCATTATTTCTTAACAATGGATCATTCATCAACTTTACAATGAAAGAGAAAAAGAAAACTAAAACATATTTTACTTGGTAGAAAAAAAATCCATGAAATATTAAAAGGTTTTCTAAATAAGAAAAGTTAGATCTTGCCATGTGATTTCAATAGTTTATGATCCCATGTTAAAGTATCCCATAATTAATTTTAAGACTGTGAACGTTGTGTAGAACATGATCATGGGACAATAAAAAATTCTGATAATAAATGTATTAGGAATATTATATTCCATTAGATAGAATTATAATTTATGGATCATCTTTTAGTGATGCTACAGTAACCTTGAGAAAATTCAACTATTTTCTAGAGGGTTAATATGAGGAATTAAGATAATGATTTTGAGTTGGAAGTTAGGGTTAGAAATTAGACACTAACTGATAACAACAATAATACCAGAACTCTATTTAGGAGTATGAATCAATGAACTTTGAGCTAAAATCCAAGACTTGCTATCTTCAACTTCTATGGGTTGTCTCTAATTTACAGCCTTGTCTTCTATTCATATTGATTTCGAAGACAAACAAAATGAATGCTTAGAGTTTAAATTTTGGCATGTTTGTCGAACCACTGTATATATAAACTACTGTTTAGATTTGCATGCTACTGTTCAAGTATACAATAAATAAGCTGTACAACACACGCTAAAATGTAAAGACAGGCATATTTTTAAAAGGTGCCTGGATAAACGTTATTAGTGAGCACATACAGAATAAGTAATGAACCGAGACTGAAACCTTTATCAGACATTTGTCTGTATTAAAAACCCATTCATTAAAGAATTGACCTTTGCAGGTATTTGTTAAAGGGTTTGTAATAAATTTGTGTAAAACAAACATTAATCAAACGTTCGGAGTTGAATTCCAATAATAAGGTAACGAAGTTTTATTCAACTTAAACTCGGTTCGCTGAATAGTTAATGTGGAAATTATCTACTATAAAATCATCCTTTGTAAATAAAATGGACATTTCTGGCGAGGCAGGTGAGTAGGTAATTCTTACTGGCCAGAAGAAATCTATTCCATTGATTCCAGCTATTATCATCATCAGCGTATATCAAGTAGCAATGTCAGGTGATTCTTTACAGAGCCGATAAGTTAACAATTAGAAATTGATATTTCACTTAAAAAATGTTTGTTAGATTACAGCTATAAATTTATGTTAATTAATTATTGTTACATTCATTGCAGGGTGGAATAGCATCAGATTGCTGTCAATGGATATGGTGTTCTTCATGTTATGTATGCAGACTAAGAAGAGATATGAACTATACATTAAGTCAACTGGGCACTTTAATTTAGGCATTCATATATTACATACAAATACGATAAATATCTATGTACGTATAAACAGACATCTAATTTCAATTTGTAATTTAACATAAATATTTCCCTATAAATACACAGTTTCTTTATTATTATTATTTTTATTGATTTGGATGTCATATAACTAGTAGTTAGGGTTAATTGAGACCTGAATTACAATTTTGATTTCATCTTAGAGATTCTTGTTTTTTTATTAAAAAAAGAAGAGCAGTAAAATATATTCCTTTAATTAGTTTTTCATTATGACTCTACACTACTCGAGTTATAGTGTTACATAATGATATCGTGGCATCACAAGTAATTAAGAGACTGACGTGAAATAACTAAGCACCTATTTATTATTTATTTATTTATTTGAATACATAAATATTGGTACAAGAGGGCACCAAATATATATGCGCCACACAAAACAATGAGAATTTAAAGAGAAGGGAAAAAAATGTAAGGACCGTAGGGAATTATAAAAAAAGAAAAAAAGAGAACAATAACGACCAGATTAGTGTAAGGTAGTTTAATAGTAGTAATAATGAGGGGAACGAAAAGGTACAACCAGAAGAAATTTTTCAGTCAAGGAAGAAGCAACCGTTTTTTATGAAGAAAGTAAAAGAAGGTTACAGCAGGATCACAACTGGCTTCTATTCTGAGCCATATCTGATAACGTTTCTAACCACTGTGTTACACCATCTCTCGGACCCAAGCCAGGGAGTCGTGAAGGACCAACACAAGCCAGCCCTTTGCAGCTTTCTTTCATACCACAACACCATGTCATACACTGACCACCTCTCCGCCTTTTCCAACCAGTCCCAGAGTCGGCAAATAATGCACGACGTGGAGTTCTCTGGGACGACATTCGTAGAACATGTCCAAGCCACCGAAGTCGATGTTTCAAGATTGTGACACCAATTGGATGCCGAACCTCTGCGTTACTAATATGGTGTTGCCACTGGATGTCAGCAATCCTTCGGAGACAACGATGATCGAACACAGAGAGTCGTCTAACATCCTCAACTCGGAGAGGCCAGGTTTCACAAGCATAGAGCAAAACTGCTCTCACCGTCGCGTTGTAGATCCGACCTTTTACAGCCAGACTAACATCACGAAGGCGCCAAAGATGGCCCAGATTGGCATAAGCCGCTCTGGCTTTCACTATACGTGCATTGATCTCATCACTCATGCCACCACCAGCACTTATGCAGCTACCTAGATACACGAACTTCTCGACTACTTCAATCTGCTCACTATCCATGGTGAATACAGGATTAGAATCCTGCCAGTTTTGTAGAAGTACTTTACACTTCGAAGGTGCAAAGCACATACCATACCTACGGACACTGATTGCCAACTGATTAAGTGCGGATTGCATGGCTTGGGCATTATCGCACAGTAAGACAATATCATCCGCATACTCAAGGTCGAGAAGTCTTTCTCCAAGCAACAGGTCCACACCACTATTACTTACATCCGTCAGAGCTGTTTCCAGAATGTCGTCGATGGCAAAGTTGAAGAGGAATGGTGAGATTGAGCAACCCTGCCTAACCCCACTGCTCGAATCGAATAGTGGAGAAAGGTGGTTGTATGCCCTCACTCTGCCTGAGGTGTTTATGTATAGAGCTTATAAGATGTTAGTAAAATTCTCAGGCACACCCTTCTTCAATGGACAACCCCAGAGAACAGACCTGATGTCAAGAAACACTACGATTGTTGGCCTTTGATAAGTATGGCGGTGTTCTAACACTTGGCGGAGGGTGAAGATATGATCAATACATCCTCGACCAGAACGAAACCCAGCCTGCTCCTCGCGAGTCAATCCTTCTCGGGTTTTGAACAACCTTCGAAGTATAACGGAAGCCAGTAGCTTGGACGCGATCGGAAGTAGACTTATCCCCCGATATTTGTTACAGGAGCAACGTGAACCCTTTTTAAAGATAGGGACAACTATCGACTCATTCCATGACGTTGGTACACTCTCTAGTTCCCAGACCTTCGTAAACGACGTCGTCAGTTTCTTAGTCAGAAAGTCACCACCATCTTTAAAAAGCCGGAGGTAAGTCGTCTGGGCCCGGTGATTTGTAGCGTTTCAAGAGTTGGAGTTCCTTGTGGACTTCTGCCTCGTTTAGTGGACCAGTCGTCACCGGCCATGGAGGGCAGGACAGTCTGACCGATGTTGCCGGAGCAGCAGGCCAGTTGAACTGCCCTTCAAAGAATTCTGCCCATCGTCCAAGACGTCGATGGATGTTAGTGATTGGCGTTCCGTCATCCTCGCAGACTTCTTGCTGCCAAAGACTCGGATGGATTGGAAGGGCTTCCGGTAATTACCAGATGCAGCTGCTGCTTCCAGCTCATAAGCACACTCCGACCACCAGGCTTCTTGGTCCTTACGCAAACATTGCCCGATTTCATTACGTAACATCCTTCGTCTGTGGTCAAACTCACGGTCACCCGGAGTAGAACGACGAGCTTCAATGAGTTGTAAAGAACCAGAAGAAACCCAGTGCTTATAAGCAGGACGTTTCGCGAACCCACCACTGACTTTACTCGCCATTTTCGTGGCGTCATGTAATTGCAACCAATGCTCATCTATACTTTTCGGTGGAATGGTAGTGAGCCTAGAAGCTAGCTCGGTTCGATATTTACTTGCAACAGGAGTTGCAACCAGCTTGCTAACATCAATCCTTTGGCGACGGTCACTTCGTTGTCCACTGAAAAGTAAGGTAAGATTGGCGCAGACCAGAGCATGATCAGAGTCCAGATAGGTACTCCAAAAGGAGCGGCAGTCTTGTACACAACCGCGTCAGCGGTAGCTGATCGCGATGTGATCAATCTGAGTCCAGGCTTGAGATGCAGAAGGGGGACGCCAGGTGGCACATCGGCGATGACTGTGTCGAAAGTTAGTGCTATCCAGAAACAAGTTGTGGTCTGTGCGTAGTTGCAGTAGACGTTCCTCGTTATCTGTCCTGCGACCAACATGTCCCCATCGGCCACCTAGGCGAACGCACATTTTGGAGAAGAACAGTTAACTGGTGG